TGGTCGTAGTTGTCCTCAGTTTCGTAATTGTCTATGGCCTGTTCATAATCTGTATCGTCCGGTCCGTCGTTGTTAGTTTCGTCGCTCTCCATGTTGAAGTTTCGTTGTTTTTTCTCCGGTTGTGGCGCTATGAGAGGAGAGAGCCTACTCTTAAGTTGATGTCTATTAATGTAGATACTTTGTCTCGTCCCGATGCTGGGATTTACATCCATTGGTTCCGGACAAAGCATCGGCTTGGGTGCCATTGGACGAGGTGGTGGCTTGTCCATATTGTGTGTCTTGTTGATAAACGGGTCTGAAATTTAGTTGTTGATTAGTAGGTGTCTGAGGGTAATAATTATTTCTAGGCAAAGGTCTTGGGGGTAATGGCTGTGAGAATTGTGGTTGTTGTTGTTAGTTTTGAGGTGGCAGCTATATTCGAGACATTGGAATCGGCGCAGGCCTTGGAGCTTGGCGGAAAGAATATTGTTGAGCTCTATTGATAGCGTGGTTTGATCGGAATTTTGGATCTCTATTTTCAATTGCTTGGATTCTCGTGGTAAGTTCATTGAACCTAAGCCGTTTAAGATAACCGATAAATGCCTTTAAACAGTTTGATGGAATTCCTCTTCGGATTGATTGTAACCTTGGATTAGCGCTGCCATCTGGTACTCCAACGTGCTTAAGTCTCGCTTGTCTGCAAAATGCAATGTTAAACATTGGGAGATTGCTCCCCAGTCTAACGGCACGTTGTATGATTCTAGATTCTTATGAATAGTGTGTTAAATACCGTAGTATTTGGGGGTTCTTCGTAACTCTTCTTAGTTGCCTATTATCCCTAAGGCATTTCACATCGTCGAGTACTCGATCTAGGTGGCCAAGATTCGCGCGATGTGTTTCTTCGATGATTTGGTCGTTGAGAAAGTCGGCGTTTGGATTAGATGCTGTCTAATGAGATTTGGTACTAAGGCGTTGATTGCCTCGTTGACGACTGCCAAAACTTAATCGCGGTTGGCCATGTTTCGGTTTTGATCCAATTGTTCGTTTAAGTGTTGGTGTGACTAATGTTCTGGCTCTTTTACCGTAAACGGTGCCGCGTTTACGTTGAGTCGGGATGGTCATATTAAAATATTTTTTCCATTAACTTACAGAAATTCGGCAGGATATGTAAAATATTGTGTCGATGGGGAATTATCAAAACGTAGAAAGCGTAGTAATAATATGATAATTAAATTCAGTAGTGGATGAAAAAGATAAAGATGTAAGAAAAAAATAATAAAATTCAATAATATGCCATAAAATTTTAACTAACTTATAGAAACATTGCTTGTAAAGAAAATTAAAATAAACGGTTGTTTTGGTTGAACGAGCAAGGGAACAATTTTAATTATCTTATTAAAAAGTAATTGAGGGCATAATGTAATAAGAAAAATTTCAAATTAATTTGTAAAAGTGCAATAAAAATTAACTAGAATATTTTTTTGTTTGTCTGTCTACAACTGGGAAAATACCCATTGTATTCAAAATGTAAATTCCACTCAATACAAGATTTAACATTCTTACATTTTTTGGTCCCAACATCACACCGAAATTAAATGTGATGTCTTCAATGTTAAATTTATCAGTGCAACAACACAATTACACGTTCAACCCACTCTTTATTTTGTAACGCCATATCGATTGCGGTATGGGAAGAATGTTTTGAGTAACTTAGTCTTTCAGTATCCAATCTTCCAGTCTTATATTTACCTCGTATCCCTACCTGGCACCGATTGCAAGATATATTTATTATTATTATTATTATTACTTGTTTTATCTTAGCTTAGATAATTAGTTATACCTAATAAAATTAAATACCAGTAGCAACATTTTGTACCAGTTGTATATTAATTGATTTTTATTTATTCTTATTTCTTTTATAATTATTTACCATGCATAATTTCGATTCACTGTGCAATCAAATATAATTAATAATTATGTTTTCTTTTATAGTGGCATGTTTTTTTTAAGCCTCATGTTGCATATACAATGATTTGATGCCAAAATGTAATCAGTTAACGTAGGTTTAACTAATTCGTTCATTCATATTATATTTTAATACATATATTTGTTTTTTAGCTTTAATTGTAATTTAATAATCATAAATGTTTTGATGATTTCTTTGGGAAATTTCTTTTTGTCATATTATTTAATACAATAAAATCAATGGTGCCATGTCAATATCACTGCGGCTTTGTATAATTGTATAAATTAACACAACCGTCCCGACTAGCCGAGAGCAGAGAATAAATCCCAGCAAGCTCTGTTGCGGATTATGATAACTATAATAATCCGCGCTTATGATTTGAATCAAGAATCGACTGCAAGCCGAAACAAAATGATTGGGAGCATACAGATTCATACAGATTAGACTCAGTTGTCAGTAAGACGGGACGCATCCGAAGAAATGACAACCCAACCCCCTCAAAACCCCTGCCCAGAACAAGAAATCGTCACATGCCGATAGTCATCGTACTGCATCAAACACACAGCATAGCAACAAAAGAAAATGGGCCTTATGCTATGGAGAAAGGTTCAACAAGAACCTAACGAAGTCCCGAATCCCGTATTCAACATAGACGCTATTAGGGTGGGAGCTTCGTCGACCCATGACAATCATCAATGACGACAACGTAGGGAACTAAAATAACGACATCTATGATATCAGCAACGTCAAGCTGCATTAAATACTGATGTCTCTCGTGTCTACCGACCTGCCGTAAAACTAACTGTTCTCCCTTATCAAAGCTATTTGCTGCTGTACAATATCGCCACCGAAGCAAGAACGTTGCTCATCGGAGCTATACGCGGAAGGGATTTAATGAAGAAGAAATAGTTTTAAACATTTAAATATTTAAGGGAATCTTTGGCCGCAAAGCGAAACAATAGTTGAAATGATTTTAGTCAAATAGTATGCGGATTTTAATAAAACAGAGGTAAGGTCTTTAGAGTTCAACAACATGTTAAGATAAGTAATAGCAAGTTGTACAAATGAACAGCCAAAACAAGTAAGAAAGCTCTAGTCGGGGTGACGAACTAGGAGATACGCTGATCCCATTCCCATCTGCGTTTAATATTTTCAATTGTATCGAGTATTAAAAAAAAAAAAAATACAAATAAAAACCGGCGTTACGACACCGAGATTCCACCAAACGTTATCTTCGCGCCTACGACCACCGCCTCTAACAACACCGCCACTGCAGTACTTCTGCAAGAAGTAGCAAATCTCAACTTTACTAGGAGGTGGCAATTCAAGTACAATTCGATCGCAATTTCGTTTCTTCTACTGGATATGTGCTCTTGCAAATTGGCCGAACGTATCGTTCAAAAATTCTATTTTAATTAGTGGATTTTAATGAAATTTTCAGCAAATGATCTACAAATTCTATCGGATTAATGAAAATGCATTCATCTATTGGCCCTATTTCCAAGTGAACCTAAATTTTAAGAATTGTTTTTATGTGGACTATACACGGGCCTATAAAGTCTCTAGCTCTTATAGATGCTAAGATCGACGCGTTCATACATATGGACAAGCGGACAGACAGACGAACAGGCTCAGTCGACTCGACTTATCGTCCTGGTCAGGAATATATACGTTATGGGGTCTGCCACACTTCCTTATGCCTTTTACATACATTTGCACAAAACCATTATACCCTGAATTTCCATTTTCAATAGGATCAGGGTATAAAAAACATTTCGGCACTTAAGCCATATGAGATATATTTTAATAACTGCATTTCGATTATGTTTTTAATCGATAACAAGAAAACAATAACAGTTATAGAATATTTGAATCAATAAACTTAATATGCGCAAGCCATACACGGATCAACAAAAATTTCAAAAATGTCAGATAGACGCGTTCACACATACGGACCGGCAGACGAACAGACGAGGTCTCGATAAGCAAATCTCTTTGCTGTCACCAATGAAAATCTGAATCAGCCACAGTTGTATTTGGTAGAATGCTCGAGTTACTTGTTTTCACATCAGGAATTGGCTTACTTACAGCTTACCTTCTGCAAATGTATGTAACAAGCAGAAGGAGGCGTGGCAGACCCCATAAAGTATATATATTCTTGATCAGGACGACAAGCCGAGCAGATTGAGCCCTGTCCGTCCGTGTGTCCGTATGTGTGAGCTCGTCGATCTCAGCATAACTGTGCCCGTTTTATTGTTATCGATTAAAAACATAATCGAAATGCAGTTATTGAGTTATATCTCGTACGGTTTAAGAGTTAGAGCCTCCAAGTTTTGTACTTAGTTTTAGGAATATTTTTTACAATTTTTTTTATTATATTTTGGATACTGTCTCCATATTTCCCCACAATTCTTTAAATTTAAGTCCAGTTGGAATTAGGGCCAGTAGAATATGTAGATCATATGCTGAAAATTTAATTAAAAGCCGTTAAGTAAAACAGAAGTTATTAAGCAAAACATTCGAACAATTCGCAAGAGCACATGTCAAGCAGCGCACGCATTTTACTATACAAATGCATAGAAAAAATACAAAATACACAAGTGCGTATTTTTTTTTATTTCAAGAATCGAAATTGCGATTAAATTCTGCCTGATGATATTTACTAATGTATGTAAATGGTACAATGTTTTTTAATTTGAATAGTACCTCCAACAAATGCACACAATCTATTGGCTCTATCAAAGATAAGAAGCTGTTTACTTACTGTTCCTATGTGAGTTAAGAAAGTCAAATTGACGTTACAAGTCTCATAGTGATGTTGTTTGTTATAAGAAATAAGTCATCGGTTGGAAAGAGTGCAGAAGTTACTAAATGATTTTGGAAAAACTGGGGACAGTCACGATTTAAAGCGAGAAAGACTTAACTATGAGTGAGTAACTAGATTAGAGATTTTGAATTTTTTCTATTTGCAATAATGCTATTAACATTAAGGCGATACTTGAGTGAGTTGCAAAGTCATAATTTTTTCTTTACAATAACAATAACCATCGTCTTAGTTTTTTAAATTTTATTTCTTGCAAATCCTATTGTGGTTGCGTCTGCAATTTGCTATTCTGATAGATGGACATAATATGCTTTTGATGACAGTAATCGGGTTCATAGTAAGGACTTTTATAATATCCACTTATTGGTTCCGGTTTTTCATCGTCGAGAATGAACGGTTGGAGCTTGTGACTGTGCTCTTTACATATGGCGTTCATATATAGTATGCACTGCTGCAGCTGATCCTTCAGATAAAAAAAAGTAGGTTAATGCCATATGTAGCTTTATAGATTAATGTTAACCAAACCTGTTTTATACTTGTTAAATCAGTAAAAAAACTGAATAGAAAATGTATATTATCATCCGTAAAAATATGCCATTTAACGGCATTTATTGATGTGGCAATGCTTGACGCTGCAATTGTGCTTGCTGCATACTTTGAAAATCTGTATTCTGCGAATTATATAAGAGATCGTTTAGAATGAAAGGGCATATTTGAAACATATTTACTTTTTTCATTCTTACACATAGTGTAAATGGGAAATCAGAGTATGATTATATTAAAATGTATGTAACATACAGAATGAGGCGTGACAAAGCTCATAAAGCATATGCACATATATCCGTGATCAGAACGACAAGCTGAGTCGATCTAATCCGTTTGTTTGTATGAATGCGTGGATCTCAGAACCTATAAAAGTTAAAGACTTAACATTTTTTTGTGTTAATCTCAAATAGTCAAACAAAAATTCTGTTTTACTGATTAATTCTTTTTTTTTTTTTTTTTGTAGATGACGCGTTTTTAGAAGTTTCTATAATTCAATAAATAACTGTGTGTGTTTTTGTATCTATGCAGAGATACAAGCTATGGCTTACAATTAGATCGGCCGGGGATGTGGGGATATCCTCATCGGGTACATCTGACTAGTACTTTCTTACTTTTTATTACTACTAAAACATAGGTAAGAGTACGCAAATTGTGTCTATATTTAGTTTTGATTCGTCAGAGTAACAAATACGATTTGCCACGTCCCAATGTGGTGAACATCTATTTTATAGGTCTATCAGTAATGAAAATTAAGAGTTATCGAGCTGAAAATTGTTCCGATTTTTGGTCTACAGCTTTGGTCCACTTGTCCACTTTGCAACGCCACCATTAGAGCGTGTTTAAAATGTACAGCGAAACTGTGGGAGGTGTAGTTTTTTTAATTCGATCTAATGACGAACATTGCATAAGTCGAATATATTTTCCTCGGACACTGATAGTAGATATATGCATAATATTTATGATGTGAAATATTTGTACATATTTTTATCCTACATATATGAAGTTCCGCAGCTCGGTAATAGAACTTCGAATAACCCTGTACTATTACGGAGGAAAAGTTAGCTGTTGGTAACTAGATCGGAAATTTTGCAATATTCAAAGTTATAATATTGCTCATTATATACTTACACCACTGACTTCCAAGCTGCTGATTACTAAATGCTATACTTTTCCAGTGACATCTAGCATAAAGATTATAAAAATCTACTATCCTAGAGTTCAGCCTTTAACAACATTCCAACATTCTGTAACATCCTCTATGATAACTATAACTAAGTAGCTGATCGCTTTTAAGGGGCAATATATGTAATTCCATATGTTAGGTCGCCACACCAAAAGACTCTTACACATGTTTAGTCTAACTTTTATAATAGCTCTGCGTAAAATACGAACTTGAATTATAAATTTGAAATCTGTACTTTTCTAAGTTTCTGATATCGACAAATTCTTTTAGATGGATGGATGTAGACATAAATACATAGTTATATTATAAAATTATACTTACCTTGGGCCGCAAGAGATATCAAAGTCTGAGCATGACTGCGTACTTTTTCGATGTTTAAGCCAGAAAAAATTTTACATCTTACAGGCAATTGAATAATTAAGAGCTCCAGAAAATCTAAGGGTGTCATTGATGATAAATCCCAGCCAAGACGGCTCAACACGTATAGCTCCCATTTCTGACAGTAAATAAAAGAATACGAAAGTATTTTATAGCCTTTAATTATGATGAGAATGAGTGGCATGGTCGTTAACAATAGATAAGAAGATACATTAATTTATATATATATTAAATTGCATAATTTAAAAGTTTCGGTTCCTTTATTTCATTATTTTGATATTTTCATAAAAATGACTGTAAAATATTAGCATTTAACCCAACATGGTTCCTTCTACCCAGAATACTTTAGATTATCTCAATATGTAATTATAAATACATTAAAACTTGCAGTATAACCACTTTATTCTTTCACAATTGACTTAAGGCATAAAAATAAAATGAAGAATTTTTTGGACTTATCATAAGCTGAATATTCTGAATTTTAGTAAAACATGCAAAATTTCTTTCAAATATTAGTGATTGTATGATTGAATTTTTATTTAGGCAAGCACCAAGCACACTGACTGATGGGTGTCATTTCATCCAAATCATTTTTAGTTTTCTATATTTGTTAGTTCTGTTCTTTTTATTCCAATTGTAATATATAACATTGGTGGAAATATTATTAGAATCCAGTTTGTTTTACTACAAAGAAGCAGGTTTAAACATTTCATTTTGTGCGGTTTTTTAAATATAAGTTAACATCCAATAAATTCACACAAAGTTGAGCAAGAACAAAAAGCCACATTGCATCGTCCGATCAGAATTGCATCAAATTGCTGACCTAGCGTCTGCAAAACTTCCTGCATACGGCAACAAGCAACTGTCAAATTCTAAGAAGAATATGGACAAGCTTTGCACACCAACAGCGACGACATTGCCGCCGTCGCTGCCGTTAACCAACAGCTTGTTAGGGATAGATTGATTTAAGTTAATAAGTAGCATATTTGACATAAAATAAATAACACGCTTTCTAAAAGAACAAGCCTCCGAAGTCACAATTTCTTTTTTAATCGTTTTAATTAAGAAGTAATTAACTGACGCCAGAGCAGGGACAAAAGAACAAAACGCTTCTACGAGAACCTCGTCGATTATAAGCGAAAACTAAACTAGTGCAACTCGCGTTAATTATTTTGACGGTCGGGTTTAAATCGCTAAAAGGCAAAATAGAACTTGATTGTTTGATTGCCCATCGGTGGAGAACAATTCGTGTCAGTTCCGCCAGCAGTCTGGTCGCAGTATCCCCAGTAGATACCGATTCATAAAGGATGAAATCCAGATCAGCGGTGAAGGTTGCCACATCAATCACAGTAATGTAAGATAGTTATTAAGAAACTAAAGTGAATGTTACACAAAGAAAATAAAAATACTAAAGAAAATATTATACAAGAAACAAAAAATTACACACTAACAAAGAAAAAGTAAATTAAAATATAATTACACAATTATACAAACACACAACATTTAAGGTTAAAAATCAAAACTATTCCCAAAGCGAAAATAAAATACCGTATAAACCGTATAAACAAATACCAAGACTAAAAACGTAGTATAACAAACTTCAACTTTGCGATTCCTAAGGCCTCCAAAGTAGAAGGAAAAGACCTGACACTGGTCATCACAAAAAATTATATAAATACAATTTCAAATAATTTTAGATATTAAAAAGAAATTTTTTCTTTTTTCCCTCAATTCATTTACTAACCATATAAATTCTTACGCTGTATGGCTAACGAAAATAATCTCATTAGGCCTCCAATTCTAAATTTGAAGAACGAAGAGAGTCAGGCTCAGATAAATTAACAGCGCTTAAATAGACAACAACAACGACAATTGGACAGACAAAACGTACGTTTACAAAATAGAGAAATGGCAAATAACATAGAACAAATAGCAGCTATTGTTAGTCAGATCTGGGCGCAACAGCTACCAGCGTTACTGAGATTTAAATAATCCTTCAAGGCAATTTAATTACGTAGTAGATCAGGGAATAGCAGACAGTCAAAGGGAGAATTTATGCGATCTAAATAGAGTTCCAGATATTGTAAAATGCCTTAGGGAATTCTCAGGAAACCAAACAGAATTCAGCTCATGGACAAAAAGTGTAGATCGTATACTCTTCGCAGAAACTGGTTCGCCAAAATACTTTGGCAATTACACAGCATAAGAAATAAGATTACAGGTGATGCCGATACAGCTCTTGAATCCTATAATGTCCTTCTAAACTGTAATGCCATATCTAAGCGCTTAACACTCCACTATGCAGACAAGATGGATCTAGGAACATTGGAATACCAAATGAAAATGTTGGTACAAGGCCACAACCAATCCGTAGAGGAATTCTACCAAGCAGTTTACAAACACCTGTCCTTGATTTTGAGGAAGGTAGGATGCATTGAAATAAACAGAGAATCTGAGACACTCATGACGAAGGTTTACCGCGATAAAGCGTAAGATAATAGTTAACTATACGAACACACCCAACTTCGAGGCAGGCAAACGACCCCCAGCACCAATGAACAAAGTTGACAAAAGAGAACTTTAGCACATTATCAAGAAGAGACATAATACGCGGAATACAATCAACCAGAAGTCTCAGACATAAATTTTTTAAGAATGAAAAGCTCGTCTCTACCTTATATTGAATGTAAGATGAGGAGCAGTGAAATTTTAAAAATACCAATGGACACAGGATCAAATAGCAACTACATACAACCCAAATTCATAACCAAGGCCATTCCTAACGAAAAATCCTTTGAAGCAATTACAATTGGCGGGAATATTAAAATCACACCAGAAATTTGCTAACATTTTCAACAGAACAGATATTAAAGTAAAATTTTTTCTCTTACCTACTTTAAAGACATTTGACGCTATATTAGACAACGATAGTCTTAGGAAATTAGATGCTGTTATCTAAAACAGCAAATTAAAAACAATATCCGCATGCGCACCAAAGAGAAGAAACTTGAGGCAGTGAATACCGTATTCCCAAAAACGGATCACATGACTAACGAACAAAACCAGAAATTAGAACATTTAGTCCGATTGTATCCAAGCCTGTTTGCCAACCCTAACGAAAAATTAACCTACACAACAAATGTCAGAGAAGAAATAGGAACGAATACCGACTCTCCGGTATATTCCAATTTCTACCAATTCCCCATGTGGTTGAAAGACAAACTAAATTGGCAATTTTGTATGACGGATTAATCCGACCATCACAATCCCCATACAAGTCACCTATTTGGATTGTACCAAAAAAATTAAACGCCTCCAAGGAAAAGAAATATCGCATGGTTATAGACTATAGGAAACTGAATAAAGAAACTATTGCTGACAAATGCCCAATCCCAGATATCAATGAATTTCTAGCCCAATTAGGCAATAACAAAATATTCTCAGTCTTAGACTTGAAAAGCGGGTTCCACCAGATCCCATAGAAGGCGGCAGACTTCGAAAAAATAGCGTTCTCCATGAATAACGGAAAATACGAGCTTATACGACTCCGTTTCGGCCTTAAATATGCACCTTCTCTTTTCCAACGAGCGCTAGAAGATACACTTCGTGATTATATCGGCAAAATATGTTTCTTATACATAGATGACATTATCATATTCAGTAAAGATAATGAAACACATGCAAGAAATTTTGACACCATTTTTCGAACTCTTCAAGAAGCTAACATGAAATGTGAGCTAGGCAAAGGCGTTGAGACTAACCCAGACAAAATAGCAGCCATAGACAAATATTCAATTCCAAGAACTCTTGAAGTTCTGAGATCATTTATCGGACCCTCTATTTACTATAGAAGGTTCATAAAAGATTTTGCTAAATTAGCATAGTTCTCTTTTACGAGGGGAAGTTGGACGAGTGTCCAAAAATCAATCTTCAAAAAAAATAGTCAGTCACAACCAAGAAGCCATAGATTCTTTTAACAAAATAAAAAACGCTCTAGGCTCTAAGGAAGTCGTCCTACAATACCCAGACTTTAATAAAGAATTTCAATAACAACGAACACATCCACCTTCGCAATTGGAGCAGTCCTATCTCAGAATAAACGACCCAGAAGAAAATTATGCCACTAACGAAAAAGAAATGTTTGCAATTGTCTGGGCGCTAAAAGCTCTCAAATATTACCTTTACGGTAATACAAAAGTAAAAATATACACCAATCATCAACCACTTACACATTCACTTAGTAGATGGAATGGCAACGCTCGAATTAAAAGATGGAAGGCGTACCTAGTGGAATTCGACTATGAACTTCTTTACAAACCAGGCAGGGATAATACAGTAGCGGGAGCATTATCAACAGCAAACCACATACATCTACTCAGCATAGTACAAAAAGCTGAAACCATAACTTAATACCCAGTATCAAAGCTCCGATGAATGCATTCAACAACCAACTATGCATAGACAAAGGTTACGTTAACCAATTATAAATTGCAAATGCCTTTCCCAACTTTCCATAGACATCTCATAACCAGACAAGAGTTCACGAAACATAATCTAATAGAGATATTAACAAAATACCTACACCCTTCTGAAATTAACGGAATAATAAATATCCCAAGCACTTCAGATACTTAAAAGTAAGATTCACACAGAGACAAGAAAATGACTTGACTAACGAAACAGAACAGGACGAACAGATTCTAAAACTTCGGAGCTCACTGCAAAGCACTTGAAAAACAGTTGGCAGAAATCCATTCCATTCCTAGGATGCAATAGAAAATAACATCATTGGTCAAGCTATGTCAAATTTGTAAGGAAGAAAAATACGACAGACATGAAACACACAGATACATAAAACACCCATACCCCAATATCCTGGACACATAATTCACATCAACATACACACGACAGAAGAGAACTTAGTTCTGAAAGCAATAGATAAGTTTTCCAAACTAGCCGAAGGACGAATTAGTAAACGTAGAGCAATAGAGGACACAAAAAAGCCACTGCACGATATTTTATTTTACTATGGGGTCCCAAAAGTTGTAGTTGTAGATAAAGAAAAATCACTGAACTCAGGGTCCATAACGTTCATGACGCGGGACCAATTAGGGATTG